AAAAATGTTGGAAAAATTTACATTTTCCGAGGATGTGGCATATTTTTCGTCTGACGAATCACAAGAAGATGTAGAAGATCAACTAGATGTTGACGAGATCATCAACATGTGAAGAATATATGCCACCTGAAAAAAATTGCTAAATATCATAGAGTACCTTTCAAAGTTAAATTAAAAATTATCATGACTGCAAATGAAATTCCAAATTGGAGTTTTAAATATTTACAAAAGCGATTTAAACAACATTATACCATAACAATGATATTGCACGTTTTAAGAAAGAAATTTTAACAAGTGGCACATTTTTAGATAAAATGGACAGTATAAAAAAAATGTATATAATCGATTTAGCGAAGAGAGCAGAAGCAATTAGTAATAAGACGGCAATTACAACAATGAGCTATAGCTACTGCATTCCATTCCGAAATGTGGAAAACGAAATGAGTGCGCTTTTCGTTTTGTAGCGCCGAAGTGGCTAACAAATTTTATAAAAAATTATAGGATTTTAAATTGTCGCGTTATACATTATTTATGTAAAAAAGAAATCAAATCACCGAAAGATATTATGAAGTCTGCGGTACAATTTCAAACTTTGATACAGTCAATTTCAACCGACTATAATTATGATTTTATTATTAATACGGATCAAACCAGTTGCGAATATCAAATTAACGTTTCAAGAACGTACATATACGCATACAGATGAAAAGAAAGTCGAACTTTATATAGATTTAAATAAAATAACACATTCGTACACTGCTCAATACTCCTTAACAAAATTTGGAAAATTATTAGATAAAGTATTTGTATGTTTACAAGAACCGGGAGATACATTTGGACGTGTTAAAGAAGTCGGCAAAACTTTTAAAATTATGCAAAAATGTATATGTTGTTTGCTCAAAGTCAGGTAAACTGATTTGTATACTCATATTTGTATGAACAGTATTTAAAAACTGTATTAAAATTATATAGGCAACGATATATTTTTATTTATTGTTTATTCTTGGGGAGAGCAAAAGAACATTCACATGTAAAACGAAATTTTTATAAATAATGATTATAAGCCAACATGTAATTTGCAAATTATATCTTCAAAGGGCACTCCAATTTGTCAACCTTGTGATGTTTGTTTTTACAGACAAAAATATCATTAAGTCAAAATTATCATTAAGCGAAGCATTATTTATTATGTGCTCCAAAATTTAAAAATATGATTCTATTTGCATGGCACGCATCAAAGTTGACAGATAAACACGAAATTTTTTATAATATTAATCAATTATGTTTCCCTGCACATCTACATAATTTAAAATGTAATTTGTATAACACAAATTATTGTTTTATTAAATGTTTATGGTGTGCGGCTCACACACATTTATGTTTTCAATGCTTTTACATTAATTTTTACTCACGACATTGTACGGCAATGTCCGAATTTTACAATAATGATAATAATGAAAAAAAAATAAAGTGAAATATTATTTTATAAAATGTTCAATGTACGACTCATTTGTATTTCCAATGATTTTATATTAATTTTCATTTACAACATTGTATAGCAATGTGCGAATTTTCTAAATAAATTAACGTAAATAAATATGCAAAATAATGTTTTTTGATGAAAAAAAAATTGATACTGCGTGATCTCGAACTCTCTTCGTCAAATGTAAAAGTAATACGCGCGCGCCTTACGCTCCTTAACTACCGCGCTTCTTGCTTTACTTCTACTTATTCACAGTACTTACCGCGCAACAGGCCGATTGCTTAATTTTACACGCAAATATCTCTTAAACAAAGGCCCATGCATCAAAACCCTTTTACACTTTTTACACTCTCGACTTTCGAATGGTATAAGGCACATTCCAATTCGTATTTCGCATTTCGTACCATCTCCTTATGAGTGACTTTCATAAAGTTTTAGGTGGCGATCACTGTTCGTTTAAAGGTTATTAGCAAATAAATTTTAAAAAATATCTTATTTCTGTTATTGACGAGCATACGATTTTCCACGCGAAGCAAAGTTCACTCTCCCCTTGCTTGTCAGAAAGTCACCTCTTGACTAGAGGGAAGATAAAGACCTCGCTTCAGGTGAAAAATCGTACGTCCCTAAACAGAGGCAAGGTTGGGTACACATAATACCTTAAGTTTTATGAGTGGAATTTTTTGCGAAGGGAAACTCAAGTATTCTGCGCAAATAATTAAGCGAGGTTTTCTGCTGTATAAAATCTCTTTTATGCAGAAAATCTCGTTTAAGATTATATTATATTATATATAACTTTGTTTTATTACCAAAAAATGATAGAGTTAAAAAGAAGAAAGAAGAAAAGAAATCCATAAGGGTCTATTTAATCTTTTCAGTTTTTATTATTTTTAATATGTTGTAAATTTAATTAATCAATTTCAGAGAAAAATACCTAAGACGTATGCATGCGACGAGAGCATAAATGTAGTCGCAGCGCTTGCTCGCATTGCAATCACAATTCTCTCCCCATTTTCACTATATTTCATTATATTTCATAACCATTTTGCATATAAGATAAAATACAAACATTTGTCCAAAAAACTTTTTCGTTACTTTTTTTCTTGATACCAATAGAATATTACATG